GGGGGGGGAGACAGTCCGGGATATACATATATACACCAGGGAAGGTCAAGGTCATTACGGAGGATCGGTATTTCGCTGTACGATGATGGGGATGATCGTATTGGATTGCAGGTTGAACACTCGCGTTGATCTGGAAAGTGAATCAGCCCCGTTTGTTCTTGACAGAATGACGGGCATATGTATGAACACTTCATCCACCAGCACTTCTTTTGCGAGGCAATCCAGTGATGTGTGTTCGATTATTTTGTTTCCACTGGGGGATTGTGTGAATGATGTTTCATTTTGATAAGTGTGAACACTAACAACCACAATGTATACATGTGTGCTCTCTGTTTTCGCCATCCACTGACAGATACATCATTCCTCGGGTTCTTCAATCATCCCGAGATGCGAGTTATTTCACGCTACTTCACTGTGTATCACATCTGCGCTCCTGGACATCACGAAGGCGCGGCCACGGAGAATTTCGAGTAGGTGGATTCTGTTGTGCCTTTATTTCGTTAGCTCATCTGTACATCATGTTCGAAACAGTTTGACATTGTGCGTAGTCACAAATGCCTCCGTTTGGTCAATTGCTTTTATGTCTGCGTGTGTACGTGTAGCAAGAAAACGCTCGACATGAGTTTATTTATACGAATTATCATGACTGAATGCTTGAGATCCCTAAAATAATGATATATTTATTATAAGTTAGGTCTTCACGACTGACGAGTGGAGCCGTTTGCTTAGTTTATAGTTTTTTAATAAGCTGACAGTTCTATCCAAAACATTATCATGATTGGTTGTGGCCAGGTTCTTAGTCAGAATCTCCATCATGCAACACGTTGGACGTTCTCTGGATTGGGTTCCGGAAACCGTCACAAAGCAGAAGTAATTGCGAATGTTTGGTGCTAGCTATTACAGAAAGTAGCTAATGCTTATTTCCATTGTTTAGTCCCTACTTGTAGTCAACCGATTGTGAAGGGTCAAGTGTTTGCTGCAGCAGTTAAGCCAGTACTGCTTTACGGTGAAGCCACTTGGCCACTTGGCCAGGGGAATCGCAGATTGTCGGTGTTCGAATACCGCTGTCTGCGCTGCACTGCACGAGTCTGTATGAATTCTCTTTTTTCCACTTGACTATGCTACCAAGATTCCAATCTTTCTGCTCTTTTCTCCCAAAGGGCGGCCTAAAGATAGCTAACAAAACCACGGCGCATGAGGGTGCATGGTCAGCGGTCTTGTGAACTGAGACTGAAACTGAAACCCGTAACATCAACGACGAACCTCCGGAAACGCTTTAGTTCCATTTCCAATTTATCCTGATGCATGGGTAAATGATCGACGTAAAACCACATAGAGTGTCGCCTAACGGTTATTTCTCATACTGGCACATTGTCAATCTGGCATACTCTTGTTACCAATTCGTTGGTTGCTGTTTTCATCCGCCTTAAGTGTAGGACCGATTGCGCAGTCCTGCAGAAAAACATGACTAAGGCAAAGTGATTAAACTGGAGTGTGAATCTGCGGATCCCGAGATGTAAATACACGAAGGATTGAAGTACTGTCCACGCATTCCTATTCCTCATTCCAACATACAGTTGCCTTGAGATAAATCCTTTTTGAGTCCTTACAGTAAACCGACCTTGGCAACTTGCCATTCCGTTAGAGTGTGAGTCGTGTTCATGTCTCACTGGACCTTTTGGTTCATGGTATCTGCATCTTCATTGTCAGTTTGCTTTCACGGAAAACATCCTGTCTGTCGACGGTTCCAGCCAACACCTAAACTCGGACCACTTGCGGTTGTCTGGTCTACCCGTTCACGGGGGATATCCTGGTGCACACACGAGCCAAGCATCTCACAACAGTTTTTCGTGGGTATCGATTTACAGTGATTGCTCCTTAAATGATTTCCTCCTACGCTAGGATATGTTATTTTCACCTATCAATCCTCGATATATGTGAGCTTTTTTCTTTGAGGAAACAAAGCCAAATAAATAGCTGTCTTCATTTTTTATTCAGTATTCAAGTGAACAGTCAACTTCCAGGAAAATGACCTCGGTCATACAAAGGCTGTCTGGGGAAATAGACAAATGAGGAAGATGGCTATGGGTTCCTACTGGCCTCGAATCAGAGCACGTTGGTGACATTGCCGTGAATTCACCAAGCACCAATGCTACGCACTTTTGAAACTCAGTATGGGATGTGAGTTAAGTCTTCAAACTGTGAAGTAATTTCTTCAAGATTACCAAGAGCCCATGCCTGCATTCACCTCGACTTGAACATCGTCAGTGACTGTTTATTTTAGACACCTGAATTTGGAAGACACGTTTGCTTTAGCTTTAGGCATTTTTGACACGTCCGCTTTTCTCTCAAGGGTTGGGTGCACAGTGCCGAAGTGCATGTGCTATTGCCGTACGGGTGTGAAATCTAACCAGTTCGTGTTGAATGTTTGTCTCTTAACCGCTATCTATCGCACTTGTGAGCCGGTGAGCAACGCGGTTGTACGCCAGCAAGTGATATGCCCCAGGCCGATTAGACGTACAAAAAGTGTAAAATGAGAAAATACCGTTGCTCTCAATTCGATGCAATGCTTTTTAGTGTTTACTCTCACTCGTTCACGGTAATGGTTTGATCTCATTCCATCCGAATGATGACTAGGTTTTTACTCCTTCCCGCGCTTCGTAATCTGACAGGATGTATTGATTTGGGAACACACGTATAGAATAATTGAGGAAATCAGAATGGTAATTGGAGCGTGTTTTATTTAGTATTGAATGTTGCGGTTAGCGACCCCATTGATGTCCTGAAACGGATATAACTATGCTCGAGTACCATCATTCCGTTTATCTCATTTGGTGATCTTAACGTAGAATTATATCATGCATTACTCGGCCTGTGTCACCTCCCCGTATAGAATGCTTCGTAGACACACTCGGCGACTTATGAGGTAAGTGTCAAGAATCGCATGCTAAAAGCTGTCTGGCATATGAACAACCGGGCTTTATTGCCTCAGTATTTTGGTTGTCACCTGTCCCCTGTTTACTGCATGGATTATGCCGCGTGTCCTGTTGAATGTCCTTCATTGGTCCCCGTGTGGACTGTCCTCCCTCACTATGTGTTTTATCCCCATGTGTCACTGAAATCGTTGTTATATTCTATGCCCTTCACTTTTCTCTTTTACACCCACGTACACATATTGGTGTCAAAGTAACGTTCCATGTCGGGTGTGTGTGTGTGTGTGTGTGTGTGTGTGTGGAGGTAGCGTGATTGTTTTATGTGAATTTCACTTTTGTTTTCTGCAAAAGACCTCTGTCTTGTCATTAGTTTTATCCAATTTTATCCGGTGATGATTGAAACCGTTGATAATGGTACTGTGGTTGTGACTGATTTACGTCGAGCAGGTGGTGACAACAAGTCTACTCTGCCTTTGTTTACAGTCTCAACGAAACGAAATACCCCACTGCTTTTATATGTTTGCCGCATTATTGACAAATTGTCTTGTTTGATGAATGTGGACCGCTTCTATCGCACCTGACTAACTTATTTCGTTGTCACATTGGTAATGTTAGTGAATGTTTTCGTCTTGTGGGTCATGTGCTTTTAGACTTTTAACACACAGTTTCTGCCTTAAAGTAATTGTATTCTGGTGTTTGATAGAAGATAGTATTGTTGTTGTCGGTGGTGGTGGTCAGGTATTGCCGGTATTTGTGTGCTCTGAGACATGAGATACAGGGTTTGAACTGGTTTACTGCCACTTAACTTTACTGTTAAGTAGATCCCCTATTGTCCGGTTCGGTGTCACTTCTATCCTGTTTGGCCTTATGTTATTCTTTACTCCAAATCCTATGCCGTGGGTCTTCGTTACCACCGTTTATCACACTAGAGAGTGCAATGAAGTCTGATTTGATAGTGAAAAATACGCCCTAGTTCTTTCACTCTGTCCCTGAGATCATCCCAAACGTCTGATACTCTTGTTTGCAGTAATTTCTCCCTCATTATTTTACGTATGCGTTCACCATAACACCAAATCGTCGACATTCGAACATAACTGACTACGCTAAATTGCACTAGTCGTGTGGGAGAATTGGACGAGCACAGACCAGGTCAGGTTGTTATAATTCCACAAGGTGGTGCTCAGTTGAAGAAAGTCGTTTATTACTAATAACGGTCAGGATATGGTTAAATTGTCATTCATACAACAAAATATCTCATTTCGGACAAGTTTGCAGAATTCCCTCCCACACTCAGGATAGTTGATGGAACGGTCCACTATCAGATGCGCGTTCTTGTATTCACCATGCCAAACAGCAGCAGTTTGCTCCAACAGATATTTCTCGTTTTTGGCCGTTGAAAGAAACCGCTGATCGCATCTTTTTACTTACTACTCACACGTGAGTAGTATCTCACAATACCATGGTCAGCTCAAGTGACCGGATTGCACATGTCAAGAGACAAACTGACTTGGCGCGTGCTGTTCGTCTGGAAGACCGGTGGAGGATGGCAAAAGGCCAAGGATACCTAAAGGATTTCTTTGCTTGGAGGTTTGAAGGCACTGGACTTAGTCACACAGATCGTGTTGGATTTCTCGGTCGATGTTATCAATCCGTTTACGTACATACGTGCATTCGGTCGTCTGAGTATTGTGGACAGTGCCATTCACCTTCGTTACAATTCTCATTTTCCCATATTTCGTAACTTTGTTCTCTTAACGCTTTCTCACTTTGTCTCCTACGCCTAGCATTTTTTCGTTAACCAAAACCAAACCGTCAAACTAAAGGAGTCGTGGGTTGCACGGACCGCGTTGGTCTGCTGACCATCCAGAAAGCCACCGTACGATGTAACTTGTGGTAGTAAACCGATTGTTGCTAATTTCAAAGTCAATTTTTTCCCGCTATTTGTTATTCTTAATCAACCAGTACTGTTCATTTTTATACGCCTTCTAGTATCATGAAAATTTTCAATTCGTCGGTTTTTATTCCCTCCTGACAAGTGAAAACTGATTATCCATCTGTCCTATGCCTATCTGTCATGCACATACTGCCGTATGCGCCAATCTATCGATTAAGAAGATGAAACAGATGCTGGCACAACAGGACTGTTTTTGGTTTTGCAGTGATTGCAATCACGCAGTACTTATATTCAAATATGTTTGTTACGGTTCGATTCAACGAAGTTCCCCAGGTAACCCGCGCAGATCTGTAGATTATGCACTGTTGAATAACTTGGCGTTCTCTGCTCAGTTGGTTTCCTATGACGAAGAATCCAATCCGTTGGTCGCCTGGAAGAAATTTATTGACAATCTCACAAATCTAATGACATCCGTGACTAAGACTAGAGTAATCACCAAATCCGGCATCCGAAATTCACCTATTCGAAGCCGCACAAGGAAATGGCTGTCGACGAGGGACTTATCCTGGCGAGATTATAATCGTCTTCCGAATGTTGTCACGTGGAATAATTATCGTATGCAGAGGAATCACTACACCAGGCTGATTCGTGAGGATAAACTCAAATACCAAGGGGCACTAGCACAGAGATTCATTTCTAACCCTAAGCTGTAGTATAAGCACGTTAACTCGATTCGGAAAGTAAAGTTTGATATACCGGCACTAGGCAGCCGCTCCAACGGAAGCAACTGAAATGCTGAAAACTCAGTATTCCAACGTTTTCACTGCACCGCAGGTTGACGGTCTATAGCTACCTCCCCAGTTGCATCATCTTCCATATCCTTCACTGACCTACGTCTCATTTACTGCTAAAAAACGTCATAGCGAAAATAATGGCTTTGCGAAAAAATGCAACCCCAGGTGCGGACAACATACACCCGAAATCTGTGATCTTGTGAAGCATATATCCGAACCGCTAGCCATTCTGTTTCAACGAATGTTCGACCAAGCAACACTCCCGGAATCGTGGAAACAAGGAATCATTTTACCCATATACAAAGGTGGTTGTCGTAGTGGACCAAAACAGTAGGGGATGCGGTAGATGCGATTTATTTTGACTTCTCGAAAGCATTTGATCGGGTGAATCACAAAATTTTGCTACAAAAGCAAAGCGACCCGTGGTGTTCCACAGCGGTCCGTGTTCGGTCCCCGTCTGTTTCTCGCATTCATAAATGATCTACCGAAAGTGTTAGGCCACAAAACAATACTGTTTGCAGAGGACGCCAAAATCTGGAACACAGAAACAGAACCCGAGGGCTCTCTAACACTTCAGGAATCTCTCAATGCAGCTTATCAATGGTCTAAGGAGAGCGACATTGAATTTAGTGTTTCTAAATGCAAAGTCCTCTCCCTAAGCCACAAGAGAAAATTCTCGTATTTCCTCGGAAATCAGCAGCTACCACACACTTCTAGTGAAAAGGACTTAGGTATTATTGATCAAGAGGATTTAAGCTGCTCCGTTAATTGTGCTAAGGCTTCGTCCGCTGCTGTGTAGAATGTAGACTTACTTAGGCGAGTCTTCGATCAGTTTGAATCAGCACCGTTCCCACGTTTGTTATCAGCGTACATTCGACCGTACATAGAGTATACCATCCAAGCTTGGAGCCCATGGTTGCCAGGTGATCGCAAGATGCCTTAGCGCCCACAAAGGACAGCCATTAAGATGGTCAAGGGATTGCATTACTTGACCTATGAGGAGAGATTACGGTCATTAGGACTATATTCTGCTCAGTACCGCCGAATTCGGGGAGACTTTATTTTGACGTATCAAGTACTGCAGAACCCAAACCATCCATGTCGGCAGCTGTTCGCATTTTGGAACAATGTACACCTTAGGGGACACCGTTTCAAGCTACTGATTCCAAAGTGTCGACTGGAATACCGGCGCCATTCTTTTGCAGTCAGACTATGCAGTTCTTGAAACGCCCAATTCATATGGTTTGTGCACTAACTATTGAATCTTTCAAGCAGAGACTCGATGAAACCTTGGCATACCTCACATTCGTACACTACTAAAAGTAAACGCAAATTCACTGTAGCCTGCATTCCCTATGATCTCCTACCCGGAACTCTATGTGACTTCTTTTTCGGCATGTAACGATTCATCTGTGTGAATATCCTATGGGGACAAGAAAAGCCCGAGCTTGTAAGTTTTTCCCATAATAAAACTTTGACTTTGACCCATAATTACACACACATACGCTTTCCGATCTATCCAACTCACTGTTTTCAACCAGTTTGCTCAGCTGGTGTGGATTGATGGCATCTGTATATCAGTCGTTCATGAACCGGGTCATCGCCTGTTTTTATATACAACATGGGGAAAGGTTAAGCATTGAGGCAAAACAGTCAAAATGACATTTCAGCCGGAATTATGATGGCAATTTTTAAGCTTGAGGAGTCCAAAGGAGAAATTGCGAAAGAATGGTTTTAGTTATACTTGAATTTTACATTGAACTCCATACATTTGTTAATTGGTCGCGGTTTTCAGACAATAGGCGAGCCTTTTTTTTATCACATTTACTACTTATACTCACTGTCCCACATAAATTGAGTCAATTACTCATTGAGCGATTTCGAGTTGGGTCGAATTACGGAAATATGGAGCGGTCAATTAAAGGCACGGATCAGAACTGTTTCTGTAGTGGATATATAGTTCGTACACAGTAGCCGTGACTTCCGGGACACACTAATGACTATCGTTGAAATCGTTCACTGGTATGCTGTGTACACGCACAGATGTAGCGCAAATATCTATCTATCTATCTAATCCATTTATTATATATATATATATATATATATATATATATATAATCACCGACTTGCGGGCAAGCATAATATCAACGGCACACCAATTTCCACAGACACGGCGCCATGTTGACAGTATTTGTACTGTCAGTATTTAGGTAAAGGTCCAGGGGCAACCAACGACAGCGAAATGGAAAACGGGAAGGGGCGACGACGACAAGGCTCTAATTCATCAACCATGGATAGATTACTATTGGATTGCTGTTCCTCTGTGCATGTGGTAGTGCATCATATGTGAGGTCGCAGGCTGCCTGCCTCACACAAAACTCAAATGCCGATTTGTATATTTTTTGAGGTAGAATTGTCACTTGGCAACGGCAGAAGCTGTAGCAATCAAAATCATGGACCTACCACTGTGCAAACAGA